GATCCCCACGACGGCGCTCTGAGGCTGATGTTGACGCTGCCACGGTCGCTCCGCGCAGGTCTTCCGTGCGATTGCAGCGGATGCGGGCGCGCAGAAATCTGACATCAAACAGTGGTTTTCCTCGTTGTTGAACAGCTGTGTCGTGAAATGGTTAGAACACCCTTTTGTGCTAAATGGTTTGACATGCGTGCGCGGCCACGCGCGCGCATGTGGATCAACGCATGCGCACCGCACCGTATTTTTTCCGTCGAGGATGGGTTTCTTGGGTTTCGATGGTTTTGCGATGGGAAGCGTGACGTTCCCACATCGAACATCGATGGACGTCCTGGGGTCTCAGGGTTGGGCTTTTTGTGGGAAGTTTCTTGTGGTCGGGCCCTCACTGTAGGAGGGGGAGGAGGACCAGCATAAGCCCAATATTCATCAACGATGTTGGGATACACCCTCCCTCCAGGCTCCCTCTTCATAGGCCCATGCAAGGACTCACTTCCACTGTGGGACGTGCCCCGTTGGGAGACAACCGTGCGAAAATCCGGAAGCGCGCCCAGACGTTATTCTTAGGACGTCAATGCTACGAGTCAACCTGACTGTTGCGTCTTGGCGGTCCTGAGTCGCGCCAGAACGTCATTCCTGCGACAAAAATGCGCGCGGCGCAGAGGCGACAACCACATTTTGAAAATGAGCCATCCTCAAGTCGAGGAACTCTTGCAAATTTCGGAAAACATGAGCGGGGCGCTAAGGCGAGAGCTACATGTTAAAGACGACCCGCCCTCAATCCGTGAAACTCATGCAAATGTTCAACACGAATGCGCGCGGCGCCAATGCGGAGGCACATTTTGAAGAAAACGGCCCGCCTTCCATTTGTGAAGCTGTGGCCAGTTTTACAGCATCAGGATCATACGTGGTGAGGAAGTGTCAGGCGAGACGCTCAGCCCGCCCTTTCGACCGGCCTCGGGTGCGACAGGGAGGAGTTATGTCTAAGGAGCAGGAATGGCGGAGTAGGAGGAGGAGGAAGAGGAGGAGGAGGAGGAGGAGAAAGAGGAGGAGGCGGAGAAGGAGGAGGAGAAGGAGGGGAAGGAGAGAGGAGAAGGAGAGAGGAGGAGGACGAGGAGGAGGACGAGAAGGAGGAGGAGGAGGAGGAGGAGGAGGAGGAGAGAGGAGAAGGGGGAGGAGGAGGAGGACGAGGGACGAGGAGGACGAGACGAGGACGAGGACGAGGACGAGGGAGGAGGAGGAGGAGGAGGAAGAGGAAGCGGATGAGGAGGAGGAGGAGGAGGAGGAGGAGGAGGAGGAGGAGGAAGGAGGAGGAGGAGGAGGAGGAGGGAGGAAGAGGAGGAGGAGGAGGAGGAGGACGCGGAGGAGGAGGAGGAGGAGAGGAGGAGGAGAAAGAGGAGGAGGAGAAAGAGGACGAGGAGGAGGAGGAGGAGGAGGAGAGGAGGAGGAGGAGGAGGAAGGAGGAGGAGGGAGGAGGAGGAGGAGGAAGAGGAGAGGGGGAGGAGGAGGAGGACGAGGAGGAGGAGGAGGAGGAGGAGGAGGAGGAGAGGAGGAGGAGGAGGAGGAGGAGGGGCGGAGGAGGAGGAGGAGGAGGAGGGGAGGAAAGAATGAGACAGGAGGGAGAAGCAACAGGAGTTGGAGGAGGAGGAGGAGGAGGAGGAGGAGGAGGAGGAGGAGGAATGAGTAGGAAGGGGAGGAGATAGGAGGGAGGAGGGAAGAGAGAGGAAAGAGGAGAGAGGAGAGATGACATAGGAGAGAGGAGGAAGCATACTGATGCACGGACGGCCGCGCTCGCCGAGCCTCCCGACCGTCGCCGAGGTCCTGAAACTCTACGGTTTCTGCCTGTCACGCCTGCTCCGGAAGCGGCTGCCGGAGCGGGCGGCTAGCGCGGCAGTGCACCACCGCCGCCGCCGCCGCCTCCGTCGTCGTCGTCGTCGTCGTCGTCGCCGTCGCCGTCGTCGTCGTCGTCGCCGTCGCCGTCGCCGTCGCCGTCACCGTCGCCGTCGCCGTCGCCGTCAGCGGAGGAGGGCGAGAACGGGGAGCGAGGGCAAGAGAATGTGGAGGAGGAGGAGGGGGAGCGGAAAGAGGGCCAGGAAGAGGCCTCCAACGCAGTCGGTCTTAGGCGGGCGCGTTAGGTCATCTCTCCTTCTCCTCCTCCTCCTCCTCCTCCTCCTCCTGCTGCTGCTGCTCTTCGAATGTAAGACAGTAGCGGCAGCACTAGAGACGGCGGCCTGAACGTTGGGAACCTCACGAAAACAAGCGGGGATCGCGCACAGCGGGCGGTAGTTCTCAAGCAGGCTGCGAGTGATACTATTTCTCCAAATGGGATGGCGACGCCAGGCCACGCAACACTCGCCAGTACCCTCGGAAGTCATGGGCAGGGTCTCCGCCTTGAGGAAGGCGGCCGTTCTTTCAGCGACACGAACACGAGCAGCCCGACTCCTGATCCTGATCTGGGCCGCCTCCGTCGGGATACCCAGAAGCTTGAGGTTCTGGATGGGCTCGGAAGGGATGGCGCTGCACGGACCCAGCTCTTTCCTTAGTTCTTTCCCGTCCCCTCCGTGGCCCTGTTTCGCGTCGCTCTTTATTTCGATTGCATCGTCACTGCCTATCATCACCGCGAACATAGGGCCAGCATTCTTTCCGAGTCTGTCTTGCATGCATGCGCCCGTGCTTGTATATGTCAACTTGCTCGGCAACAGCCCGCCTTGGCAGGTCTTTTCGGTCAGGTCGCAGGGTGCTCCACTCCTGGGTGCCTGCCCGATCGCCTACACGTCGAGCTGCCTGCCGCCGCAGGCGCGCCTGGGAGTGACTGAGGGACTCTCTCTGCTCTCTCTTCTCTTCGCGTCTCTTGCTCTTGGCCGCCCTTATGTTGTTTGTTTGTTCTCTCTCTCTCTCTCTCTCTTCGGCGAGTGCGTTCCTCCTCCCCCTGCCCCATCACAAGAGCTCGTCAAATCCTTTAGAACGGGATTGAAGGAGAAGATGAGGAAGAGGAGAAAGAAGCGGATAGTGAGAAGGAAGAGGATGATGAGGAGGAGTGGCGCTTTGGGGAGGTTGTCAGTAATCATTTCAGGCCCCTTGGGGCGTTTAAGGCGTTCTTATGGGGTGGGGAACGACATGAAGCAGCTTTCAGAGGCTCCATGGGTAGAACACTGTTCGAAGTTCTGAACCGGCGTAGGAAGTATTGCCGGAAGCCGGAGGAATACTGAGCCAATCAAAATGATGATGACGAGGAGGAGGAAGAAGAGGAGGAGGAGGAGGAGGAAGAGAAGGGGGACAGGGAGGAGGAGGGGAGGGGGAGGAGGACGAGGAGGCTGACAAGAAGGACAGGCGGCCTTCGCGACCTTCGTTCTTCCTTTCCCCCTCTTCATTCCTGTTCTCCCTCTCCTGGACGATCCCTTCCCATATCTCCTTCCCCTCCCCGTCGCCTTCCCTCGTCCCCTCCCCCCCCCTCCCCTTCTCCTCCCCTGTCCCCCCTGGACCTCTTGGGGGCTTCCTTGGGCGTCTAGGAGGCATTTAGAGGCTTCTCGGGAGGTTCTTTGGCGGTACGAGTGCGTTCCTGGGCCGTCAGACGCCTTCGGAAGCCGTCTTGCGGGCCTCTCGTAGCCGACTTAGGGCCCTCTTGGAGCGTTTCAGGGCCGTCTTGGGGACAATCTTGGGCGTCTTGGAGGTACCCCGGGCAGTCTTAGGGCCTTCTTGGGGTCGTCTTGGGGGCCTTTTGGGCCGTCAATTGGGGATCTCGGAGGCCTATTGGGCCTTCGGGGCTGTCTTGGGCCGATTGGGCGCTGAAAAAGGGCAAACGCCACAATCTGTCAAGCATCTAAGAACAATCATTGAGTTTGCCCCCATCGGGCCTTCCTGGAGGACCTCTTGGAGGTCTCTTGGGGGCCTCTTGGGCCGTCTTGGGCCATCCTGAGGCCATCTTAAGCTGTTTTGGCTGCATCTTGAGCCGTCTTGGAGGCATCCTGCGACCATCTTGGGCTCTCTTGGGCCCATCTTGGCCGTCTTGGAGGCCATCTTGGCCGTCTTGAGGGCTTCTTGGGCGGTCCGTGGGTCCTCCCAGGCCCTCGTAGGGCCATCCCATCTTGGGGGCCTCCTGGGCCGTCCTGGGGCAATGTTGGCCTCCTGGGCCGTCCTGGGGCAATCTTGGAGACCAATTGGGTGATCTTGGAGCGGTCTTGGAGACCTCTTGGGCTTAGCTGCCCTGATACGCCTGTGTCGAAACGCAACACGTGCCGTGCTCAAAACGTCCGTGTCAACACGTTGCGTGTTGGTTTGGCACGTATTGGGCCACGTTTTGACGATTGTATCGCGCCAAACGTACGTTTTCAGTCTCCGTGTTGAGCTCCGTGTCAACACGCTCCGTGTCGCGTGTTGCGTAGAGGGGCAGCTGAGGTTCTTGGCCGTCGAAAGACCAAACAGGAACGAACGGTAACATCCCTCAAAGCATACGGATCATCCATGATTCGGGGATCTCTTGGTATCGCTCGGACGTGTGCACTTTTTCTCGGCGGGGATTATTAAGGAGCATCCTGGATCATCCTGCGAAAAAAAAACACGCACGAAACCGAACAACTCAGGGAATGGACGTCCGAGCGACGGGGAGATCTGCAAGCCTTCCCCAAAGGCCTCTCGGAGGCATACTGGGACCTCTGAGGGGCCGCTTGAGGGCCTCTTGAGGGCCGTCTTGGGCCATCGGAAAGCCAACTTGGCCCGTCTTGGCTTCATCTTGAGCCGTCTCGGATGTCTGTTGCGGCCATCTTTCGGCGGCCATCGTGGGTTCTTTTGCGGCCTTCTTGGCCGTCTTCGATGTCCTCTTGGGCGTCTTGGGAGCCATCTGGGCCCGTCTTGGGGCCGTCGTGGGGATGTTGGGCCGTCATGGGGCCATCTTGGGCGCATCTGCGGCGATCTTGGGGCGGTTTTGGAGACCTCTTGGACCCTCTTGGGTTGTCAGAAAGTCGAAGTGGCCCTAAAGCAAACCACCTTCAAAAACATAAGGAAAATCAATGGCTTTGGTCTCTTTGGGTCTTCCTGTAGGTCCTCTTGGAAGCCTCTGGGGCCGTCTTGGAGGACTCTTGGGAGCTTCTTGAGCAATCTTGGGCCATCTTGAGGCCATCTGAGGCCGTCTTGAGTGCATGTTGGGTCGTCTTGGCCACAATTGTCAGCCATGTTGGGCCCTCTCGGGGCCATCCTGACCGTCTGGGAGGCCATCGTGCCCGTCTTGGAGGCCATCCTGGCCGTCTTGGACGCCATTGGGCCAATGGGGACAACATGTTCCCTGCTTTCCGGGTGCCCGGCGGGCTGGGCCGAAGCCCCGCTGGGAGTGCTTTTCGGGGGCGGCCAGGAGTGGGGTGATGATCAGGGGGGGATATCCTGGCGGGGGCCATGCTATCTCCCAAAATTTCATGGCGCCGCTTCTTATTTTGTTACGTCCCTGGCCCCCCCCCCTGGACCGCGCAAATGCCGCCGGCCATGATTTGCACCCCCCCCCTCTCTTGGACGCCCCCCTCTTGGCCGCCCCCGAGAAGCCCCGCGGAGAGTTCTTTGGACCAGAACCAAAAACCTGCCAGACATTAGACGCGCCGTGCACCTCTGTGGCAAGACCTTACAAGGCCACAGGGGGCGGCGGATAGAATGGCCTTCGGCCCATCCGTCCACCGTGCCTGGGTTCTGAACTTGAGGCGTACCGGATGCATACCAGGGTATGTTGGGATGCTTTTCTGGGGCCTCTTGGAGGCGCCTTGAGGCCTCTTGGGGGCCTCTTAGGGGCCTCTTTTAGGGGCCTCTTGGGGGCCTCTTAAGACCCTCTTGGGGCCGCCCTGTGGACCTCTGGGGGGCCCTTGGGGCCATCTTGGTGCCGAAGGCTCGAAACGTCTGTTCGGGTCCCTCCTGGGGCCGCCTTGCAGGCCTTTTGGGCCGTCTTGGGGGCCTTTTGGACCGTCTTGGCGCCCTCCTGGGCCGTCTTGGGGCCCTCTTCGAGGCCTCTTGGGCCGTCCATTTTGGAGCGATCTCGGGGGCCTCTTGGGCTGTCTTGGAGCGTCGAGAAGCCGAAAAGGCGAGACGACCCACATCTCTCAAACACCTAAGGACAATGTGTGGTTTTGCCTCTCGGGGCCCTCTTGGGAAGCCTCTTGGGGGCATCTCGGGGCGTCTTGGAGGCATCTTGGGCCGTCTGGAGGCCATCTTGAGCGGCTTGGAACAATCTTTCGGCGACTCGGAGCCTTCTTGGACCGTCTTGGAGGCCTCCTAGGGCCCTCTTGACCCGTCTTGGAGCCCACTTGGCTCCGAAGAAAGTCACGCGAGACGCGGGTGTCCAGGCTCCTTGGAGAAAACTCAGGACTGAGGACTGAGGCTCAGGGGATAGGGCAAAGGGCCTGAGGACACACCAACTCGTGCATCAGAGCACGGTGGTGAATTTTCCTGTAGTGTTCGTTCTCTCTCCTTGTTTTGTTCGCTCTCTCTATTTCTTGTGTATCGTTCTCTCTCTGTCTCTTTCTCCCTCTCTCTCTCTCTCTCTCTTGTTTTTCTCTTTTTTTGTTTTTCTTTCTCTCTCTCTCTCGCTCTCCCGCGTCTCTTCTGACTTTTCCCTTTGTTCTCTCTCTCTCTCTCTCTCTCTCTCTCTTTATTTTTTCTTTCTCTATATCAGAGTGAGGGGGCCGAACGGTCATTCACTGTCCCTGGGTGCGTGGCTGACGTGAGGTTCCGCGGTGCGGATTGTTGTGATTATTGCTGTTGCGTTGTTTGTTGTTTGTTGTCGTCGTCCCACCCGCAACCCAGCCCGCGACCCACCCGCGAATTACCCGTGACCCACCCGCGACCTACCCACATAGCTTTCAGGAAAACCGGCGCTTGCGGCTTGCTCGCTGTACAAGTTGTAAAATTAAGCATCTGCGGCGGGTTTCTTCAGAGCCTCGCAGACTACTGACGTCCCCGCCGCCCCCTCACTCTTATCCGCAACTGCGGGGTGCTACGTATATCGTTCTCTATCGATCTCTCTTGTCTCCCATCGGTCTCCTCCCTTTGCCGTCCTCTGCTTTTCTACTCATGTCGTGCCATATCCTAATTTCTCTGGTATCCTCTCTGCCCTTTTTGTCGCCCCAGGAGTTCCACCGTACGCTGGCTGGTATTGACGACGTCCTTGGCTTCAAGTGGCCCAGGGGGGGTGCGGGCGAGGAGGGGGCAGGGGGGAGGGACCGAGGGAGGGACGGAGGAGGAAAAACGTGCGCCGCTCCTTGGGTACCCTCATCCTGGCGGGAGGTCGGCCGACCAGGGGGAGGGCTCCTTTTGTCGCTGCCACTGCGCCACTGCTGCTGCTCCTCCTGCTGCTCCCGTTTCTGCTGCTGCCCCCCCCATCCCTCGTTTCACTCCTGCCTATCCCTCCTCTCTCCTCCTCCCTATTCCTCCTGTCCCTCCTCTTCGTTGCCGTCCTCCTTCCCCCTCCCCCTCCTGCCCCTCCGTGTGCCAAGTTGACACCAAACCACGCCTGGCCTGTCCTGCCACCCTCGGCAAAAGAGCGGACGGTGAGCCCCGCTCCCTCTCACGGAGGGGGGGCTCGCCGTACTCTTTCAGGTCGCCGTTGTGACGGTTCTTGGCGCGCGCAGTCTGAGAAGACGTATCCCAGCCATTTGTGCCAGGCCATAGCAGATGCCATTCTGGACAAGGTTATGCAGATCGTCGCCCCAGCTGGGGAGGCCGATTCCGTTGGCGAATCCGCTAACGTCGGCATCGCAAATAGTCTCATGCAGTCCTATGTGCCTTGTACCCCAGCACGTGATGCAGAATTTGCCCTCGTTCCAGATTTTGCAGGTGGCACCAAGCGTTCGTGCTGTCGGGTCGACCCAGAGCTGCGCATATTCTCTCCAGAGTCGAATGGGGAAGGAGTTTTCCGCAACACCCACCCCGAGGACGCTGAGCCCGCGGACTCCGGTTGGATCGCCCCCCTCTCCAGCTGGCATCGTGGGGCCGAACAGCGGGCTTTGGGGGTCTCTCCTCTCGTTCTCTCTCCTCCCCCGCCCCCTTCCCCTCCCCCGCCGCCCCCCGCCCTCCCAGCTGTCCGCAGAGCAGCGGGCGAAGATCGCCACGCACCGCGCCGAGGCCAGGCTCCGCCGCGCTGCGCGCGCCCAGGCGCGTGTCCGCGAGGACCGCCTGGTCCGTGCGCCGCGGGCGGCCCCGGGCGTCCCGGGCCTCTTCGATGAGGCCTGGGAGCGCCCCCCCTCCTCCTCTTTTCGTCCTCTATCTCAGGCTGCCCACACTTTGCGCTGCTTTCATGAGCAGGAGTTGCACCAGCAGCCAAAGCACACCCAGCGTCATGCCTGCGTCCGACGACGGCTCCCTCCTCTCCTCCTCCTCCCTCTTCCTCCTGTCCTTCCGCTTCGTCGCCGTCCTCCTTCATCCTTCCCCCCTGCCCCCACCGTGTCCCAAGGTGACGCCATGCCACGCCCGGCCTGCTCTTTTCACCCTCGACAAAGTCACCATCGCAAGTGTGTCATGCAGTTCCCTTGTCCATGTGATGTCGTGGGCTTGGGTGAGTTTGCGCATAAGGTACGTACGCGTCGGCATTCGTGGGGCATCCGAATAGCACCCGCCCAGACCGCGTTCCGTGCAGCTTCGATATTGAAGGGGCGGCGTTGAATTCGTGACAGGGGCCGATGCTGAAGTTCCGCGTCAACCTTTTTTGGAGCTAATTGTGTCGAACGTTGGCCGTGCGGAGCGGATGCGAAGGCGAGGTGGCACGTCGGCCCTGGCCCTTTGGCTTTTGGCGCGCTCGCATATCGGTTGTAATTTTACATCAGGTACGCCCCCAAGAGCGTTCCGTACTGACTTGTGGCTGCTGAAGTAGATGTCGGGTCTTTGAACCGATCTTTCGGAACCAGCAGGTCCTTGGACAACTACGGGCCCGTCCTGAGTTTACAGAGACGAATCCGGAGGCTCTTGGGGGCCGTAGAGGTTATAATATACATATCGAAGCGTTTCACGTGGCACTGCTGCGTAGCACATCACGTGACACAGGTTTCGCCGCCCTGGGCGGGTCGCGTCGGCTCGAGCGGCAGGCCCGGTGGTGGCCGTTCTGACCGTGCCCGCGCGGCGGTGGGCCACCCAAGGCGAGGGCCACAAGGGCGGGGCAGGCGCATCGAGCCCGGGCGGCACGCGGAACAGAATTGAGCAGAGGAGTGAAGGAATGGAGGGATTCGGGCGACCCGCGGGTGAAAGGGCGCGAGGAGAATTCGCAGTGGGGAACTTCGAAACGAACTGCGTTCGACAAAATTAGCATCACGAATCTGTCGCGCAGTTTCCTTGTCGATGTGATGTCGGGGGCTTGGGTGGAATTGCGCGCAAGGTACGTGTTGACGCCGCCTGTCCAATGTCGGCGTTCGCGGAATTTCCGAGTCGCCCCCGCCCAGACCGCGTTCCGCTTTGCTCCGACGTCGAAGGGCGCGACACTGAACCCGGAACTCGGAACCTGGACCTGCAAAGTGCACGCCAGCGGGGGCGCTGCAGGCGGGCACCGTGGCGCCATGGTGTCAAACGAGAGCGGCGGCGGTTCCTGCGCCGGCAGGTGGTGGCATGCACGTGTGGTGCTGTAGGGGAGGGGGGGGGACGCACGAAAGGAGGGAGGGACGCACAACAAACGAGGGCGAGAGGCGAGGCCGAGGGAAGGACGGGGGAGACGAGCAACGAGGGGGAAAACGAAGAAAACGGGAGCGAGAGGATCCGAACGGTGCAATGAAAATGGGCATCGCCACTGACGAATCTGCCCTCCGTTGGTACCGAAAACGTCCGTCTGGGCAACATCATTCCAATCGTGTCCAGCATAACTTGGTTCGGATAAGATAAAATGTCCCAGGGCGTCAGACCATCGTTTCTTCGGGTGGCCTGGGTCCCGGCGAGTATCATAATCGACGTGTGCCTCCGGATTCCAAAGCAACGCCCGCGCCGTTCAGTTGTTGTTCGACAAAAGAGCCTTACGAGCCCATGCCCATTCTCGTTGTCGTCGAATCGATACCCAATTTGCAATAATTAATCGTGTGTGTGTGTGTGTGTTTTTTGCTTTCTTAGTTGCTCTGCGGATCCACTCCGCCCAAGACTCCATTCCGTCGTCGTCGCACTCTTGTATCAGGTGGTCGGGGACCTCATCGTCGTCGGTCGAAGCTGCTGAGTCTGTAGTGGTTTCCAGCCGCCCGTCGCGATGGGCGCCTGCTGCGGTGCACCGTCTCGGCGTCTGCAAGATCATGTGCAACAGTTGCCTCTGTACCCTGCGCAATCGGTTCTCCATACTAGTCGATGACAGTGTCCAAAACTTCACACCCATAGAGCACCGCGGGTGTAACCGTCCCGTGAAATAACCGCATCCTGCTGTTGAGCGAGTAGTATCCATCAGCTCTTGTCGCTGCGCAAAGAATGTTCGCCACCCTGCTTACATTCGGTTATTTAGCTCCGCTGCGTGGAAATCACTGCATTGAAATTCCCATCCAAAATATCTCGTTGAGTTGTAGGTGGGTGAGATCTCGATCGTCATTCCATTTGCCACCGCATGGCTCGGCACTTTGCGCCGGCGTGACTTCCAGTACCCACTATGCAGAATCTTTGTTTTGTCTGGGTGGTGGACGCGACATTGAATGGGTGACAAGGGGCGACGTTGAAGCGGCGCGTCAACCACTTTTAAGGTTCAGTGCATCGAGGCGTGTATGATCCTCGCGAAGGACGGGCTGATTGTTTAGATGTGCGTAGGAACTGCACGGAGCATTTGCTTTCATTTTTCGGTTCTCCCGATAAGCCGCCAGACCATCCCAGATGGCAGCCAAGTCAGACTATCCCTCCGACCTCGTTTCCCCCATTCGCCTCATCATCCACCCTCCCCTATCAGTCCTCCTTGGCCCGCCGCCCTTCTCCATAACCTCCTGCGACATCGTGCCATATCGCGAAAACCTCAAACAGTATGTTGACTCCTCCCTCCCCACCTGTCATCCTCCTTCAATCCCCTACTCCCATTCCTCCGTGCCTCTTTATATGTTCTCCATGTCGTGCCACCAGACGTGTCCTCCTTCGTCGTGGCATTGCTTCTTATCGCCGTCGGGCCGTCCCCCGCTTCTTTTTCTTCTTCATGCTGGCCCCTTCGCGATCGATCATGTCTTATACTGTATTGCGTTGCCTTGCCTCCTCATCATCATCATCATCATCGTCTTCATCGTCATCATCAGCAGCATAATCATCATCAGCATCATCAGCATCATCATCCTCATCATCAGCATCATCATAAGCATCATCATCAGACTCATCACCATCAACAACATCACAACACCATCATCATTACCATCATCAGCATCATCCTTTCCCCTTGCTCCTCGCCTTCCTCCTCTGGAAACCCTTCTCAGAACATCTTGCTAACACCTTCTCCCTCCTCCCATCACTATGGTTTCTTCGGTGCTCACTGCAGTACTGACTGGGGGGCGCCCCCCCCCCCCCCCCCCCCCCCCGCCGCCGCCATGTTGAACTGATTTTGGCCGGCGAGCCCGTCGCCATTTTGTTGTTGCCTAGTTGCGATTACGGTTGCGCCCGCGGGCGAGTTGAAATGTTTCGTTTGGTTGGGAATTGAAAAATATCGCACTTCCGCGTCACGCGGTGCACCTCTTTAATAGAATTGCAAATATTTCTCGGGAGAGTCCCACGCCCGCCTAAGAGATTATGTGTTGTTATGTTCGTTGTAGTTTTTTTCAACGGATTGAAAACGCAGCCCGCCTGAATAATTCCGCACTGGTCACAAAACGATTCGCCGCCAAATTTGTACGGGGAGTTCCAACTGATTTGAATTCGTTGGTTCGCCTTGCCGCCGATTCTTTGGATACGTCAGTTACTGTTTCAGTTTTTTTCTCCGCCGCCCGCTGTTTTTCTGAAATGGAGTATGTTGTAATGCTTCCAGTGTGATCTCCTCCCCGCTCTTTCTCCTCCTCCTCCTCCTCCTCCTCCTCCTCCTCCCCCTCCTCCTCCTACTCCTACTCCTCCTCCTCCTCCTCCTCCTCCTCCTCCTCTTCCTCCCTCCTACTCCTCCTCATCCACCCTTTCATCCTCCCTTTCCTCCTCGTCCTCCTCCTCCTCCTCCTGTTCTGCCTTCTCTTCCTCCAACTCCCCCTTGTTTCCCCCTCCTCTATGGGTTTGTCCCTGTTTGGACGCCAAACGTCGTGAAGCTGTGGGGGATGATATCGTCGACGGGGTGACGGACTTCGTTTCGCAGGGAAGACATCGTTTGACTCTGGTTACCCGAGGCATCCTGGCTCATCCTGGTGACGAACACCCCCCCCCGCTCGAAGAGGGTTCCTGGGACGTCTCGTGGCGTGGGGACCCGCCTTCTGACAATGTATTTAACTTCCAGGGGAAAGTTTTTGTTGACGGTTCTTGCTCTCGGCACGTTATTAAAGAGCTGAACCGTGCGTCCTGGTGTGCTGTCTTGTTTTCTGACGAAGATGAGCTGCTGTGTACTATGAGATGCCCTGTGTGGGCCCCGCTCCCCCAGACCCCTCAAGCTGGAGAGTTTTCGGGATACTGGGGAGCGGTCATGAGTCTCACTGGCCCCAGCACGATCATCACTGATTGTGCCAACGTGGTTACCCAGCATGAGCTTCCAAGAGTTGCTCAAACTTTTTTCAAACGTTTGTACTCTGGTGTCTTTGTTCAGCTGTTATCTAGGCCCGAGCGTCGTCACATTCGTGAAGTGCTCAAAATTAAGGCTCACCAGTCTTTGTCTGAGGAAGGCATCTCTGCTCAGGAGGAAGCCGATCGTCTAGGGAACCACTTGGCCGACCTAGGGGCTAAGGAGGCCCTTGCGTTCCATCCCTCAGATTCTAATGTGCTGGAAGAAGCAAATGAGAGTGTGAAGTTTGCTAGGGCAGCCTGCAAGCTCGCGGCTAAGTTGCTGCCAGAGTTTGCTGCTCTCAGCTCGATCAAAGATGTGCCCTACCTCCCTGGTGTGAGCGTGCCTAGAGCTGCTTCAGGCGACGTTCACATGTGGTTTAGGTTTGAAGGTTTTTGGCGCTGCTCTAGGTGTTTCCAGATTCGTCGGCCTCGGGACGGTTCGAAGCCCATTCCTGGTCGTTGTTCCGGTTTAAAAGCCTGCAGTGCCGACAAGCTCACCGCCCTTCAGCACAAGTGTGTTATGTTCCCGTGTAGCGACGGGTCTGAGCTTGTGATCTGTATGAAGTGTAAGTGTTACTCCTCCCACGGCACTCTTCGTGGGCTGGCTGCTCGCTGCGACCCCCCTCCCAGCAAGTTCGGAGTCTGGGCGTGGCAGCAGATCTGCAAGAGCCGTCACCCAAAGAGGAAGGGGGTGGTGGTGCTGTTGGGAGTGAATCTTCGTGACGGCTCTAATCTGTTTCAGGACGGTTTGCCCGAGGCTGTGAGTGAACCCGTGCCCCCTCCCCCTCTTCCGCCAGCTGCCCCTAGCCCCTTGCACCCGCAGAGCGAGGTGGCAGGTCTTTCGAGGGAGGAAGAGAAGGCACGCGAGTTCCAGGCCAGGGTTCGTCGTCTTTGCATCGCGGCTGGCGCCGCTCCGTCGTCCCCAGCTCATATTCCTAAAGCTGACCAGGACGACTCAGATTAATAGCCGCTCTCTATTTTGTTTTGTTCTGGTCGAAGGTGTTGCACAGATCTCACCTTTGTCCAGACAGGCTTTTGGCATCGTGTTCTCTATCCGTCAGGGGGTGGGTTTGTCTACCCTGCGGGGGGCGTGGTGCGAGTGGGGACTGCCCGGCGTTGCGCCGTTAGTGACCCTCGCACCGTTGCTCCCCGGCCCCGCGCACGGCGCGGAGTGTTCAACTCTGCCTCTGGCTGGATGGTACAAAAAATCCTTCAGGGATTCGTGACTGCCATCGCCTCGTCGCCTCCTTTCACCCAACTGTTTGTGGGTGACTGCAGGCGCCTTTTCTTGTTGCAGGCTGCAAGCGCCATGTGCAGCCTGGATGCAAGCCCCAATGCGGGACAGTGAAGGTGGTTGAAGCCCCAGGGGGAAAAAAAAAAATTGTTTCCCCCTCCTCCCCCTCCCCCCCCCATCCTGGAGAGTCCCGTCCTGACCGGCCGCCAGGTGGTTTGGCACGCTCTTCACGACCGTGCTGCCCCGCGAGGCGTGGCCCTCCGTGCCGTGAGCTTCCTCCGGGGGGCAGCGGGGAGGAGGAGGAGGAGGAGGAGGAGGAGGAGGAGGAGGAGGGGGAGGACGACGAGGAGGAGGAGCTGGAGGAGGAGGAGCAGCATGAGAAGGAGGAGGGAGGAGGAGGAGGAAGGAAGAGGAGGAGGAGGAGGAGGAGGAGGAGGAGGAGGAGGAGGAAGGAAGATTTCGCCGGTTCTCAGCCGAGCAGTGCAGGCGTCGCTGCTCGAGTCCTACGTGAGCCGTGGGCTTGTACGGCTATCCCTTCCGCGCCAGCGGTTCCGTTTCACCGGGCAGGGAGGGGGCGAGGCCGGTCCCGCGGCAGGACAGCCCGCCGACTATCCAGTCACATCTCAGACGTTGGCATCCGTTGCGTGGTGCAAGAGTGCAACTGAAGCCACTCGCGCTGCCTGCGCGGGGGAGGAGGAGGAGGAGGAGGAGGAGGAGGAGGAGGAGGAGGAGGAGAGGAGGAGGAGGAGGAGGAGGAGGCGGAGGAGGAGGAGGAGGAGGGAGGAGGAGGAGGAGGAGGAGGAGGAGGGAGGAGGGAGGAGGGAGGAGGAGGAGGAGGAGGAGGAGGAGGAGGAGGAGGGAGGAGGGAGGAGGGAGGAGGGAGGGGGGGGAGGGAGGAGGGAGGGGGAGGGGGGGGAGGGATGAGAAGGAGGAGGAGGAGGAGGACGGAGGGATGAGGAGGAGGAGGAGGAGGGAGGAGGTAGGAGGAGGAGGAGGAGGGAGGAAGAAAAAAGAGGAAAAGGAGGAAAAGGAGGAAAAGAGGAGGAGGAGGAGGAGGAGGAGGAGGAGGAGGAGGAGGAGGAGGAGGAGGAGGAGAGGAGGGAGGAGGGAGGAGAAAGGAAGGAAGGAGGAGGAGGAGGGAGACGGAG